TAGTTTTCTCTCATCTTTCCATCGCCTTACGGTGCCCATGAGAGTTTTCACCAATAAGAGTCTCTCATTTATTTATTTTTCCTTGTGTAGAACGGGTGTTTCCCCTAATGAATCATACCTCTATCTTGCTTGACTTGCCATTCCCAAAGATTGATTAGAAGGTCTTTTTTGGATCGAAATGTAGGCTTTTGGATATGGTTAGAACGAAAGGATACCATAAAGGCTCAAAACAGCTTAAAATGAACGGGTTCAGAATTACAACTTTGGAATCAGATCTTTCGCAACACCACAACTTCTGCCCCAATTTCTTTTCCTAGGGAACTTTGAATTTTTTTTTGATGGGACAGAACCATGAGGCTGCCTACGTATCCTTAAAAGGAATTAGGTCGAACATAGTTCAAGACATAGGAATTGCTTTGTTTTTCTTACTTTACTTTCTTTTCTTTTTTTTTCTCCTTTTTTGTCTTTTCTCTTTTTCTTTTCTTGTTGTTGCTTTACTTTTTCATTTTTCTATTTCTCTTTTCTCTTTTTTTTATTTTTATCTTCTGTATTTATATTTCTAAACTCTGATTCTGATTCCAAAAGAGGGGTATGAAAGAAAATAAATAAGGCTCAAAAGGGGTAACAAATGATAAAGTGTTTAGATAGCAAAATAAAATTCCTTCGTTATTCCAATCTTTAAAACATGCCAAGTACAAACGACACAAATAGACAAACCAAAGAAATCATACATAATATCTTTTGACTGCATCAGAATTGATAGCCATATCTACATATTTGCCTTCTATATCTGTTAAATACAAAGCACCATTGGATAACACTATTGTTACAATGAACGACCCCTGCCAATTTGGGGCAAACTTGCCTTTAGCTTCCGCCTAATGTGGAAGGGTGCGTTTCAATACATGCTGACCCACTTCAAATTTCTGGGGACGCACCTTCTTATTATATGCTCTTGCCATTCTCTTCTGATATAATTGACCATGACACACTGCCGCCAATCTTTTCTCGTCAATCAGACTTAACTGCTCCAACCGGGTTTTAATCCATTCTTCATCATCAATTTCAGCTTCAACAACAATTCGAAGAGATGGAATTTCGACCTCCGCGAGTATAACTACTTTAGTACCATATACCATTAAATAAGGAGTTGCACCTACTGAAGTGCGAACAGTAGTGCGGTAACCCAGCAAAGCAAAAGGCAGCTTTTCATGCCATTTCCTAAAACCTTACACCATCTTCCGAAGTATCTTCTTTATGTTCTTGTTAGCCACCTCAACAACTCCATTGGCTTTGGGGCGATACGGGGTGGAATTCCGATGCGTAATCTTGAACTGTTGGCATACTTCTTTCATCAAATGGCTGTTAAGATCAGCACCATTGTCTTTGATGATTACCTTGGGGATTCCGAACTGACAAATGATGTTTGAATGAACAAAATCGACCACTGCCTTCTTGGTCATAGATTTGAAAGTCATGGCTTCAACCCACTTAGTGAAATAGTCGATGGCCACTAGAATAAACAGGTTCCCATTTGACGTCGCTGGCTTAATAGGTCCAATAACATCCATGCCCCAAGCAACAAAAGGCCAAGGTGCGAACATTGTATGCAACTCAGAAGGCGGAGAATGAATCAAATCCTTGTGTATTTGGAATTGATGACACTTGCGCACAAAGCTGATACAATCTCGTTCTGTGGTGTGCCAATAATAAACTTCTCGAAGAATTTTATTTGCCAAAACATACCCACTCATATACGGTCCAAAAAATCCGGAATGCACTTCGTTCCTGTTTCAGAAATGAGCACAACCCTATTACGGCACCTTTCATGTTAGCGGCTCTATCAAAGAAAGGTTTTCAGTCTGGCTTTTCATCCTGCTCCACCTTGTCAATATGCATCACCTATTCATCAGGAAAATAAGTCCTCAATGGCTAATACTCATCATCCACCAAGTTCTCGGCCAAATGATCGGCCTATGTTTGGGCTTTCATCGCCATTCAAGTCACATAGATGATGTCAAACTCTGTGATCAAAATTTGCCACTTTGCAAGTCTTCCTGTGGGCATAGGCTTCTGAAAGATATACTTTAGAGGATCCATACAAGAAATGAGATAAGTAGTGTAGGATGACAGATAATGTTTCAACTTTTGTGCCACCTAAGTTAGGGCGCAACATGTCCTTTCAAGGGGAGTATACTTAACCTCATAGGATGTAAACTTCTTGCTGAGATAATAGATGGCTTGCTCCTTCCTGCCAGTGATGTCATGTTGACCCAACACACAATCGAATGAATTATCCAAGACTGTCAAATATAGAATTAAAGCTCTCCCGGTTTCCGGCAGGACCAACACAGGTGGGTTCGACAAGTACCCCTTGATCTTATCAAATGCCTCCTAGCACTCATTAGTCTATTTGACCGCAACATCCTTCTATAGCAACTTAAAGATGGGCTCACAAGTTGTCATGAGTTGAGCAATAAACCTGCTGATGTAGTTTAAACGCCCAAGAAAACTCATCACCTCAGTCTTATTCCTTGGGGGTGGTAATTCTTGGATAGCCTTGATCTTTGATGGATCCAACTCAATGCCTCGCCGACTGACTATGAATCACAACAATTTCTCAGACGATCACTACCCTGTTTCGGCCCAACTTTGTTTTTATTGTACTAACAACATGGCCGAGTACGAGGCATGCATTTTGGGTTTGAGGTTAGTTGTAGATATGGGAGTCCAAGAAGTCTTGGTCTTGGGAGTTTCGGATCTGTTGGTGCACCAGATTCAGGGAGAATGGGAAACTCAGGATTAAAACTCATACCGTATCGATAATGTTTGCATGATCTTTGTTAACGACTTAGATCATTGGAGTTCAGGAATATTCCTAGGTTCCATAATGATGTTGTCGATGCCTTAGCTACCTTGGCGTCAATGTTACACCATTCAGACAAGGCTTATGTTGACCCTCTGCATATTTAAGTTTGTGATCAGCATGCTTACTGTAATGTGGTTGAGGAGGAACTTCATGGTGAACCGTGGTTCCATATCCGGGAATCTGGTACAGGCCACAAGTGATCAAAAGAGAACAATTCGACATTTGCCTAGTGGATTTTTCTTGAGCGGGGGAATTTTGTACAAGAGAACTCTAGATCTTGGACTGTTGAGGTGCGTAGATGCTAAACAAGCCACGACTATCACCTAATGCGCACTTTGTAGGGTTAAGCTTAAGATTGTACCTGCGAAGCCTCTAGAAAAACTTTCTCAAGTCTCCGACGTGGTCGGACTGCTTTCTTGACTTGATTATCACATCATCCACATAGACCTCGATTTCCTTGTGTATCATATTATGAAACACAGTATTCATTGCCCTCATATAAGTTACCCCAGCATTTTTCAAACCAAATGGCATTACCCTGTAGCAATACGTTCCCCATGGTGTGATGAACGCTGTCTTTTCTACATCTTCCTCATCCATCAAAATTTGGTGGTACCCCACATAGCAATCCACAAAAGACCTGATCTCATGCTTGGCACAGTTATCAATCAAAATGTGGATATTCGGCAATGGGAAATTATCCTTTAGACTTGCTTTGTTGAGGTCACAGTAATCAATGCACACCCTGGTCTTACCATCCTTCTTTGGTACTGGTACAACATTAGCTAACCAAGTGGGGTATCGCGTGACTCGAATGACCTTTGCATCTAACTATTTTGTGATTTCTTCCTTGATATTCACACTCATGTCAGTCTTAAACTTCCTTAACTTCTGCTTAACGGGAGGGAATGCTGGATCAGTTGGCAATTTGTGCACTACCAAGTCAGTACTCAAACCCGGCATGTCGTCATATGACCATGCAAAAATGTCTTTATATTCAAACAGTGCTTTGATTATTTCTTCCTTGATTTGTGGTTCCAAATGAACACTTATCTTGGTTTTCCTAATATTATCTGGATCCCCTAAATTGATTGCTTCAGTTTCATTCAGATTAGTCTTGGGTTTCTCTTCAAAATAATTTAGTTCTTTACTAATTTCCTCAAATACCCCATCTTCATCATATTCTATTTCATCATCACACTCTATTTCTTAGATTATTATTTCAGAGTTAGATTGGCTTTTATGACTTGGCCGAAGATTCCTCATGCATGTCATGTCATTGAAACCAACATAAAAAGAACTGTACAAAGAAAGAAAAAAATGACACTATCAGGAGTAATGGGAAAAGGAAAATTGCATTTCATTGAAAATAAAGGATAAGAGGGTTTGTACATTAAACAAACAAAAAGTAAAAAAAAATCCAGATTACAACACTGGAATAATCCAGATAACAGAAAGGAAATCAAAGCAAACTACCAAGACTCCTTCCGATTAGGGAGAGGAGTAGCATTCCAATTGTTATGCTTCACTCTTGGCCCAATAAACTGCACGTCTGCTTTGTTGGAACCTTCCCCAATTTCTACCATGTTCACCTCATCAAATAGACTCTAGAACCTTTCAATCAACTCTTCATCGAAGTCAACCACGGGCTTTGAAACCGCTGACACCGGACGCTGCACTACCCCTAACTTGATGAAAGACCTGGAGAGGCGTGGGATAGGATTAGGGAGCGTCCATGCTTTTTTTTTTCCAACTTTTTAGCCTTCTTCACATCATCCCCTGTGGGCTTGAACCCTAGACCAAACGTACCCAAATTTTCACATAGAGACACTAGTTGCACGATACCTTGCAAAAATGCATCCAAACCCTTGTCGGGCACAAAACCATTCTTCAACATTTCATTTGCTACCATAACGGTTGCAGAAGCTGGCTTTGGACTTGTATACATTCCCCTTCTGGAACCTTGTCAATACACCCAAGGCCCTTTATCATCTTCAACCTCAATAAACGGGATTGATGTATCATTGTAAGCACACAAGTTCTCACCACCATGCACAACGATTTCCTGTCTGTCCCACTCGCACTTCACCATCTGGTGTAGAGAGGACGTGACTACCTTGGCAACATGTATCTAGGGCCTACCCAATAGCAAGTTGTAAGAGACAGCCACATCTAGTACCTGGAACTCCATGGTAAATTCAACTGGTCCTATTGTTAATTCGAGCACGATATTGCCAACAGAGTCTTTTCCCCCTCCGTCAAAACCTAGGACACATATATTGTTCTTGTGGATCCTCTCAGCATCAATTTTCAGCTTGTGTAGAGTGGAGAGAGGGAAAATGTTTGCGCTGGAACCATTATCAACTAAAACCCTTGTGACCACAGAATCTTCGCATTTCACTGTGAGATAAAAAGCGCGATTATGTTCCGTACCCTCCAGAGGTAACTCATCATCCGAGAAGGTAATCATGTTTAACTCAAATATCTTATTGGCAATCTTCTCCAAATGGTTCACTGTGATCTTGTCAGGGACATGAGCTTCATTCAGAATCTTCATGAGGGCCCAGTGATGCTCATCCGAATGTATCAACAGTGATAGAAGAGAAATCTGAGCAGGGGTCTTTCTCAATTGTTCCACTATGGAGTAATCTTGCAGATTCATTTTTCTCAAAAATTCTTCCGCCTCCTCTTCGGTTACTGGTTTCTTCACTAGAATTGGATTATCTTTGAGTGGCTTGGATTTCCCTGATTCCTTTGGGGCAAAGCATCTCCCCGAACGAGTCAATCCTCGGGTTTCATTAACCTCATCTTCCACTTCTTTCCCCTTATAAGTTACTACTACTCGCTTGTAGTTCCATGGGACGGCCTTGGTGTCATCTACCGGTAGCTAGGTCACAGGCTTAATGCCAATAGGAGTCGTGCGAGCTCTTTCCACAATTATGACAAGCTTACTTGCTACCACCGGCATGACCACCTTCATCTTTCCTTGCTTTGATTTAGCGTTATCTGGGGATCCCTTCATGCTTACCACGTACGGCTTAGCATCGAGCTTGCTTAGCTTATATGTCAACCCCTCAATTGTCGAAGATGTTACATTTGTAACAACCAGAGTTTTGACTGAATTGCTTTCAATGGCACGGATCATCATGACAGACTTCGAAGGCTTTTCGGGCTTCCCATCCTTATACATTATCTCAATCATATATGTTTCGGCATGGGTTGGCAAGGGATTTTGATTGATGTTGGGCGCGTCTGAGCTTTGGACCTCAATCTTGTTTGTATTGATAAGCTCTTGGATGGCGCTTTTCAAATGCCAACACTTTTCTGTGTCATGCCCCGGAACATCAGAACAATATGCACATCTGAGGGAATAATCGAGGTTCTTTAGAGGGGGATTTGGTAATTTTGACTCAATCGGCCTTAGAATGCCCAACTGCTTTAACCTCTAAAACAGACTGGTGTAAGACTCTCCAAGCGGGGTGAAAGTCCACTTCTGCTGCTGCCTTTCTTTCCTATACTCTGTCCTGGGGCGAAATATCGGACCAGTAGGGTTTCGGTATGCTTGTATAGGTGGATAAGTATTTTGTGGAGCATTGCGGTAAGGAGGGGGTTGAGCATATGACTGTGCATGATGGACATGGTATTGGGGTGGCCTAACTGAATACTAAGTTTCTGGTGGTGGGAAGTAGTGTTGGGGTGGATTATATGGAGTTTAGAAGTAGGTTTGAGGCTGGGGTCGAGGCTGGGTGTAATGGTGCAACGGACCCCTCAGGCCAGACCATGATCCTGAGACGACCATGGCAACATCTTCTTTCTTCTTTTTCCCTAACACGCCCCCGGTGCCATTATGGATCTCTTGTGTGGTTGCTTTGATGGTAGAGTAACCCATGATCTTGCTCGACTTGAGCCCCTCCTCTACCATTCCTCCCATCTTCACCACTTCATTAAAAGACTTACCTACTGCTGAGACCAGATGACCGAAGTAAGTAGGCTCCAAGGTCTAAAAAAAGCAATCCACCATTTTATCTTCCTTCATTGGGGGGTCAACTCGTGCTGCCTGTTCTCTCAACCGGAAACCATACTCCCTGAAGCTCTCGCTGGGCTTTTTCTCCATCTTAGTCAAAGATAGGCGATCTGGGACAATATCTACGTTGAACTGGAAATGCCGAGCGAAGGCCTGAGCTAAGTCATCCCAAGTGTACCACCTGATGTTGTCCTGGTGGGTGTACCACTCCAATGTGCACCACTCAAACTTTGGCTAAAATATGCCATCAACAGTTCATCTTTCCTACCGGCTCCCCTCATTTTGATGCAAAATCCTCTCAAGTGGGCTATGGGGTCTCTACGCCCGTCATACAAGTCGAACTTGGGCATTTTGAATCCGACAAGTAGCTGGACATTAGGGAACAAGAATAGGTCCTTATAAGCCATGCTCACTTGGCCCCCTAACCCTTGCATATTCCTCAGCGACTGCTCCAAGCATTTTACTTTTCTAAATATCTCTTCTTGCTCTGTGTTTTTGGGTGGCTTCTCAGTTTCGACAGGAAGTTCGAAGTGGGGAGTGTAGGATTAGTGATCTGGGACTTTGAAAGTGGGCTCTAGGATATAGTACTGGTTATCTTGGGTTTGGAATACCGGCTCACTGGAAGATCGATGGAGTGTAGCTGGTGGAGGTGCCACGAAGACAAGGGTGGCTGGCAGAGGGGGGTATGTGGTTGTTTTGGCTGGTGGAGCTTGGATGGTTTGGGAAGTGGTGCCATGATAGTGGTGGTAAGCGGTAAAGCTTGGTGTGTGTTGTGGGAAGAAAATCAATAATGGAGGGCTCTTGAGATTGAGCCAGTGGTGGGATGAAAGCACGGTTGGCAGGGTATGATGGTTAGACCTGGTGTTGTACGGGTGGGTTACTAGAATGTCAAACAAACTAACCACCTTGATGTGCTCAATAACAACATCACACTTGTTAGGGTTGAAGATTTTAACAGATAGGCAACCGCACGTTTGGGATGCAATGCACCTAAACAGTTAAAAGTTTCTACTATGTATTTAAACGGTTGCATGTTTCATCCCGGCCCTAACCAACTCTTTTCACTTTGCACTTTCTCTTCTCTCTTTTTTTTTTCTTTTTCACTATCACTATTGATTTTCCCACTCGGCTCTTGTTGCTACCTTTTTTTCTCTTGCTTTTGTTCTTTTGTTTCGCCATTATTTCTTTCCACTCAGTCTCTTTTCTTTTTTATTTCTCTCTTTTTTCTTTTTTCATTTTATGGTTATGATTGAATCCTATGGGGATTGATTACGTATCATGACGTCACATGAATCATATCATTACGTAGTTTAGGGGATAAAATGCGAAATAAAAGAAAAACATATTTTGGGGTTTTCGAATTTTCATAAAATAAAAACATTCCAATTTTTCCTCTATTACAATAAATCCACCCTACAGACTTAAGCATTACAAAACTAAAACAACACTCAAAATGGATTGACAGACTCTAAACGAAACTGCAATACAGACTCGAAAGTGGACTAATAGAGTCCAAAAGAAACTGAAAATACAGACTCGAAAAAATAAAATCAAAAATACATGAGTGCCTCAGCTACTACTCTGGGGGCCTATGGGACATCAGTCGGTCTCGCCGCGGGCCTACGTGCCATATCTTCTTGGAGGTGATATAGGTCATCCATTTTCTGACAGACAAAAATCATAACTGAAGCGAAGAACATGGACCTGGTAATGTCCTCGCATTCGTTGCACTTCATCACAATATAGTCAACAATCCTTCTAACCCTCTCCCTGATGACGCCCTTCTCTTGTAACAGACTTCCAATTTGTTGAGATCTACCCTCCAAAACCTGTGTGGCCGTATGATTTTGCTCTTGTAATTGTTGCAGGTCCTCTTCTAGTTGTGATATCAAGGCATAGTAGTGTTCTCTTTCTACTTTGAAGTCTCTTGCCTGCTTGGTCATTTCGCTCTCAAGGGTGTTGATCTTTTTCTTTAGACTCATGATTTCTTTATCGTACTTTTCCTTCAACTGTCAAACGAAGCTTGCTTGTTCCTCCGCATTCTTAGCCAACTTTTCTCGGGCCTTTGCTAAGCTCACCTTCAGTCTTTTCCAAATCAAATCCATAGTCGCATACTTTCCTCCTAAGGTTGTCTATAAGTTTATCATCCTTTTCACTTCTGGCGGGGTTCTCAGGTGTTATCTTCATCTTCCGAATTTGGGCTTGGAGGGCTTCATTTTCTTGGGCCAACCTCCTCCTTTCACATTCTGCTTCTTGCGCCTGGAGATTATTATTGAATTTGACGTTTCTTAATTTTTCTTCTAGGGTGTGAATGGCGGCTTGATATTTTTTCTCCTCTTCTCCCCAGGCCAACCTTTCTCGGACTTTATCATGAAAAGCCTGAACATGAGGTCTCTTGACGGGCCTCTCGGGCTCGGGCTCTGGCTCATTGTTTGCACAAGATCTTCTCAAACCACACAGCGTAATCTGGATCCACCTTCCCCTTTGTAACTTCTGGTACCTGGATGCCATTTTTCAGATATTGGCAACCATTCCAATCCTGCTAGACTAAGGCTTCGGGCAATGTAGCTTCTGGATATAGCTCAATGACCTGGGTGATTAGATCTTCATCTTCGAGCACCACCTGATATCTCCCTAACTGCTTTAAGACCCTCTGCGGTGCATATGGCTGAACACTCCTCAAACCCATCAACATTAGGTAACCCTTTGTAGCCGTCATATGTATGATTTCTGTCACCGGGAGCCATCCTATAGTCCACACAACCTGACTTGCTTTTAGAGTTCTCAAGTGGGAGACTCGGGCTTTAAACCCTTCTGGAGCATTGTAATCTTTCACCCTTTCCTCGTAACTCTTGATGAAGTTTTCTTTGTTTGAACCATATCTCATGACTTTGGGGTGATGGCGGAGATGCTCGATCAACCACATTTGTAAAAGAACATTACAACCATCAAAGAATTGAGCCCCGGACTTACACAATGTTAATTCTCGATAAATGTCTGCCAGCACTAACGGAGCAAGTGTATGATCTTTTTTAGTAGTGAGGATTTGTGTAATTCTGTCCATACAGAGATCTATTGTCCCTTCTGCATTTAGAAAGACCATAATTCCCAAAAACACCACAATAAAAGTGAACCGACGATGAATTTTCCAGATGCTCCTATCTTGTTTGTTGTTTAATCCCTTTTCATGCGTTTTGAACCCAGCTGAGTGTCCGAACATAAAGTACAAGAAGTATAAAGAACAACATCCTCTGTTTACATGGGCTTTCTTCATTTGCTTACTGATATTTAGGAGATCAAAGAACTTGTGCATAGAGGGAGCCCTTGGGAATATAAGTTGTTGTTTCCTCAAGTCCCAACCAAAATCAATATATCCAGCCATTTCCTCCAGAGTAGGGGTAAGCTCAAAATCCGAGAATGGAAAGCGTTGTGGACGGGGTCCCAAAAAGTTACCAAAGCCTTGATTAGATCCTCCCGTAGTTTGATTTCCATAATGTCTATAAGGTCACCCAACTGCTCTTTTACCCAATCCCGACCATCTTCATCTAGATCATTCCACCACATACCCAGTTGCAGCTGAGCATGTTCTATGACCAATTGTGACGGGTTCTAGACAGTGTTCATTTGTACCTATGGAGGGTTAAGGTTAGGGTTGACTCTGGTAGACTCTTTTGTAAAATAAATTTTCCATTTCTAAAAGAAAAATCAACGGAAAATGACCCCTATGCTACTTTAACAAAAGTGGTCGTTTCTTGCAAACATGGCCCCTTAACAATTCCAAATAAATTTTGAGGCTGGGGAAAGGTACTTTATGTAAAAATGACACCTTACCGATAGACTTATCCGTTATTTACAAAAATAGCCCTTCGATAATTGAAAGGTACTCTAAGGCCATCCCGGCAAGAACGACTTAAGACATGATCGAAGCTGGATCGGCTTATTCTTTTGACCAAAGCCCTAAAATACATTTATTTGATTATTTTTTGAAAAAAAATGAGGCCGAACCTTATGTAGGTTGCCTACGTATCCCACATCCGGTGAGAATCAGACCTGCGTAGTTTGGTCAGTTTTGACATATTTGGAAGAGAAATGTTATTGACTCATTTTGAAATGACTATTTTTCCTCTACTCACTTTTTTTCTTTTTTTCTTTTTTTTTTTTTTGAAAAATTTCGGTAGAGTTTCAGGACATTTTCAAATACCGGGGGGTTTTAGAATCGGGCTTTATTTCTTCCCTACATCACTCTTGGTTTTTCTTGATTTACTTTTTCCTAACCGGTCAACATGCAAGCCGAAGCAAATAAATGTTCACATAGCACGTAAGATGCATTAGGATGGTCTATTATTTTGGCTACACCTGTCCTAAACGGACCCAAATCGTGTGTTGAGTCCCCAAAGTCAAATGCACGTGATGCAAACAAACGTTTCTACTAGGGATCCGTCATGAGGTTATGTTATTCTAAGTTTAAACTGGGGTTGCGTTCTTGACCTGACTTACCCGAGCGGACAACTCGAGCCGAAGAGGGGGCAACGTACCGGGAGCACGACAGTCTACCTGGTCTTTTTGCTAGCCCAGCCTCATTCTAATTGGTATAACTTCTAACAAAAAAGTGGGCCACGCGAACATGTGCACCATTTTTTAGAAGACTCAGAGAGGTGGCGTAAGAAGGCATTTTAATACAATTCAAAAAATATCGAAATGGTAAATAAACAGCAACTAGCACATTAGGTCCACAAAATACAATAATATTAACAATAAATAAAGCTAAAAAAAATTAAAAAGCTCGAATTCTTGAACCCTGAAGCAGAGATTCTGGGTTCTTATCCCCAACAGAGTCGCTAGAGCTGTCACACCTCCTTTTTCTACCCGAAAGGGGGTATAAGGGAGTTTTTTCCAATTTAAGTGAC